TATTAACTATTATTATTATTATTATTATTATTATTATTATTATTATTATTATTATTATTATTATTATTATTATTATGTTGTAATGATGTTGTTTGTACTGTTCTTTAATGTTATTAAAGAGGGCCCCTGAATATCAGTTAACCTACTGGGCTAAACTAGAAGGGTTACCTCTTTAAAGATGGTTGAAATAAAAAATTTAAAAAATAAAAAAAATAAATACCCACTCTGACCCAAGACCCCTGTTACGCGCCCGGTGTTAGCGCCAATGTGTGCCCTTGTACGGACAGGAGTATGCCCCCCCCCACCCCCCTCTGAAGCTGGAAACCTTGTTTTTGAAAAATAAATTGATGCAATTTGCTATTATAGGCCTAATCAATAAATTCCTCATCAACCGATATAACCTTAAACATTCTTGGAATTGACATAACAATACTGATGTCGTACACACCATTCAGTGTAAAATGTGGCTCTCTTTGCAAGCACATCTAACATCTAAGGAAAGAAGAGCTTAGATTGGTACCAGATAAAATAATTTTGTTATCAACATTAATACATTATGCTAATTTTCATCTTTGTAAGCGCATAAGACTGTGCAAATTATTTCTGTGAGTCTTTTGAAGTGTGTAAAGCTCAATTTTATCCCATACATAGTCAAAATATTGGGGGGATGATACAATGGACCATCCCCCTTGTCAAATATTGGGGGGGGGGGATATATCCCCCCATCCCCGGGATCTACGCCTATGATTTTAGATGATGAAACAGACGAAACCATTCCATTATAGCCTACTGTATATATTTAAAAACTGTCGGAATTATGTTTTTGAATATTACAAAATATAATTTTGGATACTTCCCACTCCTTTTGCGTGTATCACAACATTATTTTCGTTAGACAATGTGAAAATTCTACATGCATTTTCCACGAATTTATTGCTAATCGGAATCAAAATGTGAATTAGGCCACAAAAAAAAATATACTTGTTTAGCGTCACACCCTCAGAAATTTTCAGGGACGGGGTGGGGGCGGATTTTTAAAAAATTTTTTTGCTGACTTAGGCCTAGCCTAGGCCCTAATGTGTAGGTTTCTTAGGCCTAGAAATTTCAAAAACTGCATTGGTGCCAAGCCAAATTTTTTACAAAGGCTATAACAGACACTAAATTACATAAAAGATTTGTTTGTACAATATTTATTTTAATAAGCATTGTGGTTCCGAAGGCAAACTTCTGCAGTGCTAGGCTAGGCCTATGCCAGGTGGGCCTAGCCATACTTACTACTACTTTTTTCTGCAGAAAAAGAAAACACACTTGGTCGCGCACTTCACATCTTGTTCCCTGTGCTGAAGATGAAAAAAACGATCGTTTTTCCTCTATTAATCAGCATTTTTTAGTCGATTTTCAGCACTTTTTAACCAAAAAAAAAAAGGCGGCTAGAAAATCAGGGTCGGGCGGTGGCGCTAAACAAGTATATATTTTTTTTTTTTGTGGCCTTATTTTATTTTTTTACAGGATGTTTTGTTATATTTGAAAAATGGCTACAATGTACATAAATGCTATTATTTTTTTTCCAGTACATAGATGTGGCACAACAGGGCAAGGATGTATAATGTCTGATCAGGCGCGTAACAGGGGTCTTATCTTAAATGTTCTTTCTATTTGAGTTTGGGACTATCATGTGTAGGAGGACAAGTGCACCCTAAAAAATGTGTGTGAAGCGCACAAAATTTTTTTTTTTAGTTTAGGGCTTATGTTATATATGGCCACACATTTTTTTTGAAACTGAATTTAAGCATTTTTATGGCTCTATTTATTACAAACATATTCTTGTTTAGGACTACTATTGTTTAAATAACTTAGAAGGCTAACCCTAAAAAACGCCAAAAATATTTGCAATTCTAATTTCGTCGGAATTGATCAAACCTCTCCGAAATGTGCAATTTTTAGAGGAAATTGGCCTACTTTAACAAGAAATGCGAAACTTGAGGGCATCTTCAAGAGGTGGGGAATGATTTTCCACAGATGGATATTTTCCCTTTGTCCCCGGTGGTTACACCGCCGTGGAGAATATCTGGCGGCTTAGATCAAAGGAGTTATGGACATCTTTTGAAGTGGAGAAGGGGTTGCAGGGTGTTGTGAGTGGTCATTATGATATCTTCCTTTTTATTCTTGTCTTTAATTTTCTCTTATCTTTTTCCATTCCTTTTCTTTTCCCCATCTTTCTCTTTCCCTCCCTCTCCCCTCTTTCTTTTCTTTTATTTCCCAGCCCGGTACGACGGCTTGGTCAGCCCGGTAAAACCATCAGGGGGAGAGGAGCATTCTGCCCCTGCCCCCCACCCCCTTCCCGCCTGCTACGCCACTGTGTCTGATTATCTTGTTGTAGTTGTTTTTATTGTCGCCATTGTAACCACTGCCGGCGTTTTTAACAAATAAATGTATTGATGGTATTTTACAACAGCAGATTTGTGGAATATTTTTATCTAGTAATTAAAAGAATGATTGATTGACTGTTATGAGATAATGGATTTAATTTTTTTTTTTTTATGTTTCTGTACAGCAGAAATTTTATATAATTAAATTACATCGTCATCGCCTGCGTCATTATTACAATTATATATTACCACGGTGAAATCCTAATCATAGAAAGATATTATACTAGTATTGTATGGGGAGTTTTTTTGGTTTTTTTTGTCCTAAGGTACGATGTGAGCAATACTGGCCAGAGGATCACAAGCCGGTTTTTTTTGGTGATGTCATTGTAACTATGACAACGAAGACAGAAACAGAAAAGAACTGGCATGTTAGAGAATTTATGATTCAATATGTGAGTTGATATTTTTAATGTTTTAATGAATGTGTATACTCTCATAATGCAATGAAATGGCATTCATCATCATCATCATCATGTTTCACCTACTGCTGTGTATATTTTTAATGTTTTAATGAATGTGTATACTCTCATAATGCAATGAAATGGCATTCATCATCATCATCATCATGTTTCACCTACTGCTGTGTAAAGCCCTCATCCAACATTTTTCTTCTTTTTCTGTGTGTATTGCCGCTCTTGCCCAGTTTGTTGTTTCCATATATGTGGTGATGTTATCCATCCACCTTTTCTTTTGTATTCATTTTCTCCCTCTTTGCACTAATTAGAAGATTTTCTTTTTAAGAGTGCTAAAACACGAAAAGTGAAGCACTTCCATTTCTTAGACTGGCCTGACCATGGTGTACCAGAAACAAGCTCGCCATTAGTAAATTTTGTTAAGACAGTGCGACTTCACATTTTAAATGAGAATACTCCAACATTAGTCCATTGTAGGTAAGTGCCACCTCAATAAACGCAATTGTTATTTATATACATTACGCAAGGTATCAGGTACCTTAGATATATAATTAGATAATTTTGTTCATTCAAAGCACTTCAAAATTACAACTTTGTACATTAAATGGTGTTTAAAACTGCATAATTTTATATTTTGCTCAAACTCTAATAATTGCCATCCAATTTTTTACTAGTACATGAATCCGAATTGTATTGTACATAAATTCCTAAAAGTCGAACTGAATGTTTCCCAACACATATCAAATGATTCATCAATCTGTCTTTCCATTTACCAATCCATAAGCTTTTGGTTTAAGTCTATTTTGATATTTTTACAAAAAGATTCAATGATATTGAGAGTTACTTGTATTGCCTGCCAAGTGACTAGTTCTAGCTAATACATTATCTGTTTCATTGGGCAATTTAATTCCCTTGTAAACATAATTACTTCTTACATTAAAGCCATAACTACGACAACAAGTATAGAAGTGCCAGTAACGGACAACCTTGTCGTATGCTTCTCTTCATGTTAACATCTTTCAGAAACCTATGTCTTTTACCAAAAAAAAACCCGATTTTGGAAATTAAACATTTGTTTTAAAACAGCAAACATACAATCTTTATTAATTGAATCAAAAGTTTTTTTTAAATGCAAGACCATTATTGCCCCTTCAATATCATATCGATCAGTACAATATAACAAATTTATTAAACAAATATTGTGTCCAGCCAAACGCCCTTTTGATCTAGTTAACCAATGATTTAATAACCATCCGCAACCTGTTACTGAGAATGTGGGCAATGATTTTATAATTAGTACTATTAGGAAAAGTTATGAGACGCGAGTTATTCAATTGTTTTGCGTTCACCCCCTTTACACAATAGGGTATTACTAATAATATTTATTTACAAACTGCATAATTCTTTTTTTCCCCGACAAATTGCGTTGTTTTTTCCTCTCGTGGGGGTGGGGGAGCTCTCTCTGACGGGGTGCGATTTTTTTTCCCTTACAAAACATTTGCATAAAACTCCACTCGGGCCGTCTCGGATTGACTCGACTCGAGTCCGATACCAACAAGAGCAGGCACTTCGCAATGTCGTGACGCTCGACTATTCTATTACCATTACTGTATTGTTCTTTATACACGGTAGGCCTATGAAATCTTACCGATTTATGGGATGTAGGCTGCGTCTGTAACTAACTGTGAGCTTCTTGTAGGTCTGTTATCAAATGTAATACTACCTACAACAGCTAGTACCCCATTCTATAGGGTGTAGTACCAGTAGTAAATAGGTACATTCCTATCAAACACTGAGCAAAAGAGGTTAGACTAGTGTGCCTACAGTAGTTACAAGCTAAGTTAGGTCCTACCTGCTTAAAGCACCCCCCCCCCCGACTAGACCCCTAGGTTCCTAGGCCTGACACACAAGACACGTTTCGCATGCCATTGACTGAAATTAAAAAAAAAAATTAAAACATGAAATTAAAATGGGACTGTGAATACCATGATCCCCTCCTCCCAGATCCGCCAATGTGAATTGCGAGAAAATGTAACTCGGTCTTGTACTGGATAAACATTCTCTTTCCCATCCTTCTCCTTCTTCCCTCCTACTTTTTTTTGCATTTCCGATCATACAAAGTTCTCCAGACATTATATATTTTTCGCCAAAAAGTGGGGGGGGGGGCCCGGGCCCCCCGGTTCTGCCGCCCATGTATAATTAACAACTAGGCCTCATTCATTCATTGGTACACAGCTATTTTGGCAGGTCCTATGGTATCCTTATTTTAGAGCTGTCTATTCTCAGCATTTCTTTTAATTTCAAAATAACTGTCACTCTGTTTCATATTTGATCAATAACTGTTTTTTTTCATCCTCTATCCTCTTTGCGCTTTCTAAAAACTGTTTTGATTAAGTGATCACATTCTCTTAGTACGGTAGGCTGCATGACCAAAAATCCAAACTAATCATGATAATAACGATATACTTGGGGTCGAGTTGACATGGGGCCGAGTTGACTCGAATTCGTCATAGGTACTTAAATTATTATCAGACCGCGGCCAACTAAATAATAAAAATGTTCACAGTATGTAACTCAAATTCAAATAACACTTTATTATTCGTGGAGCGAAATCAAATATTACATGTCGTTTTAAACGACTCATTATATTAGCATGGTAACATCAATGTGTTTTTTTTTTTGTTTTTTTTCAAAATCAGACAGCGGCCAGCAATCCTTATCTCAGAAGTTTTGTAGACGGCATTTAGTTTAGCCTATCTTTGCTTATAATGACCTTTTTGACCTCCAGAATTGAGATGTAACGCAACATCAATTATCAAAATAATTGACCTCCTGTCAAGTTGCTGCTAGGGTTCTGGGTATCTATGTAGACTGTAGATCATGTACCTATTGATCATAACAAGTTTAAATTATTTTCCTGGGGAAGCTAATTTTGATACGTTTCACCTTGTACAAATAAAATGCTACATTAGATTTTTTTCCAGCTAATGTGGACAAGTATTTCAATGTTTTATTTTTTATTCCAAAGTGCTGGTGTTGGACGAACAGGAACATTCATATGTCTTGATCGCTTACTTCAACATATTGAAAAATATGATCACGTTGACATTATGGGGATTGTATGCGAGATGCGTCTTCATCGTGCGTATATGGTGCAGACAGAGGTGATTTTTTGTTTAATATATTTGCCAGAAACATTGGTTTTCTATGAGTCTATATTTACAAGACTACCAATATGAAAAGGCCTTGCCATGTCAAAACCAGCAATAGTGACCAAAACAAGAAAATCGACATTTTACACCCAATTATTCTATCATCATATTCATAATATTTAGGACGGGTGACTGTCCATGTAGAATGGAATATGCAAGGGTTATATAATCTTAGTACAGATAATGCTGTCCTGTATATTATATATACAACCAAATTACAACAGTTACGTATCAAGTTACGTATACAAGTATGTAGGCCTACAGTATATCATGTTTTCATTCTAGCGTATTTCCTCTTTTTTCTTTTTTTAATCTAAATGTTCATACTCGCAGTATTTGCTCCACGTTCCATACGGTCGTGTTGATTGCACAAAACGGGGCATTTTTCAGCAGTTACCCAATGAATTTAATAGTCTGCTTGTTACTTGTGATTTTGATCTTTTTTATGATAGTTTAAATGTTTTTAAAAGTAAAATTGTTAAATCTTTGTAAGTGTTTTTTTTTTAACTTTTCACATTATTGTTTACATATATTTTATTACGTTTTGATTCAACCTGTTAGTGGCGGTTTTTATCGCTGTTGAATAACTGAATAAATTTTTTTTTTTTAAATTGTAGAATTATACAGCCCTATGCCTACTTAAGACTAGGCTAAACGAAGACCTGAGGGGCCTACGATGGCTCGTACCCATAATTTTGACTGGCTCGTACCCATAGTCGGCTAGTAATTATCGAGGCTTCAGTACTCAACTAGGTCTCTCTTATTAGCCAAATATTCTAGTCAATAACCAGTTCAAAATAGCGCACCCCGCATGTTGTTGTTGTATTATATATTTCTTTCAAATTACTTAATTTTATTATTTGTGCATCTATAGAATACTTTTTACATATTTTATTATTTTTCAATTTTTATTTTAATTGGCACGGCAGATTGTGAGATATACATCCGGAAAATATAAAAATCTGCATCTTACTTCTCCAATCCACCCACCAAACGAGGCGTGCAAGCCCATCAGTTGGGCTTACAGCCTTCCAGACTGCTTGCTGTCCGCCGGCCAAAATTTGACACATGGTAGGTCCGCTCGAGTCGGTGTGTGGCCGATCTGCTTGATTCAGCCTGACCTAGCTAGATGACCCAGTCGAACGATCCGCTCGAGTTGGTTCTGTCAGTTGCGACCAAAAACTATATAAATAAAGTTCAAAAATCTAAATCTTACCTCTGAAGACCGAGGTACATGTAATATTGTCAATGTGTGAAAGTTTGAGGTTAATCGGCCCAGTAGCCTTTGAGTTATGCTTCCGGAAGGACAGGCACACACAAACAAACAGGACAGACAGACACACACACAGACAGAGAGACACAGAGACAGAAGGAGGTCATTGCAATACCCTTTTCCCCCACACCCCCCCCCCCTTCTCGGGGACGAGCCTAAATATGGTAGCAAATTCTACGCTGGTTTCCGGTGTTTGAAGCTATTCTAGTATAGTATATAAAATGTTGTAATCTGGATGTATATATACGTACTAGGATAATCCTTGCATATTCCATTCTACATGGACAGTCACCAGTCCTAACTATATGAATATGATGACAGCAGAATAATGGGGTGCTTTTTAATATATTCATGTATTATAATGGTAAGTCATACTGCAATCGACTTACTATTGCTACAGTAAAAGTGAGTAAAAGTTTTATGGCTTCTCTGTATAAAAGTACAGATTACAGCCACATTCTCATGCTAATTATTTAGTTTAACATTTAACGACAGTACGCTGGTTTTGATATGGCAAGCATTTTTACTATGCTTTTTCGAAGAAATATATTAAGACTGATTTTTTTCTTTTTGCAGCAACAATATATTTTTATTCACAAATGCCTAATGGATATACTTGAAGAAAAAAAGCTAGCCGCAAAGCAAATTTTATTAATCAATGGATCTTCTGAACAATAAATCATAGCATGAGATGGTGTTAGAATACAGTCTTACTGTGGATCCACAGTTGACAAAGGGCACGATAAATAGCGACGCAAAAACATGGCAAGACCCTCTTATCATCAATGGTTGCATATTTTTCATCTTTATAGTAAGGCATTATTGTACCCTTCATATCAATATCTCAAAGTATATTAAAGTTTGACAAATCCAACCCCAGATTCTGAGCTCACTAACGCGGAAGTAGTTTACAATATAGGTTAAACGTCAATGTTTCATGTATGAAATATACCAAAAGTGGTATGTTCTCCACAATAATTACCTTTGTAAAAATGTGATATATGTGTTGTATGTATAAAAATCCCAAAAATTGTTTTGAATGCAATGTGGCAAAGACAGCCAAACCACTCATTCCTAGCAAAAAATATTGCATTTGTGTTAATCAATAAAAAGAAAGTTATAAAATGGTGAAAGAATTTATCCAACATTTCGTTATAAAGTTACAGGCATTTAAAAATACAGAATAGTATTCAAGAAATGAGCATTCAAATTTTACAACGGGCTGATATCGTGGAAACGGCCCGCGAATGGACAACGTAGGAATTTAACTACCTTAGCAATGGTAGGTTAGAGTATTGAATGTTGATTTTGGCATACATGATTAATACATAAGTCTACAAACCCTGAAACTTCATAAGAATCAGTGGTTCGAGACAGAACCACTTCTTTTTTTTTTTTTTTTTTTTTATCTTTCATCTCCGAAACATGATTTGTGAAAGGTGACTGGTTGGATGGCCTTCGCCACTTAAAGGTTCTGAATTCAAATGCGACATAAATATAAAATCCTGTTGCAGTATACACACACAAGTAGGTTGAATTCATGCTGGTACACACATCCCCACAGATTTACTAATTGATCTGGTGTTGGAACCTACAAAGAGAAAACCTTACAGGTTAAAAACAATATATTGTGTTATGTCTATCATTTTTTAATAAGATAGGTCTAGCAATTTATATTTTTAATTCTTTTTGGTTAATGTGATGTGATAAAATTATTTTTAAAAAATAAGTGAATATGTTGTCAACCCATAGACTATTGCAATAATAATTCTTTCTGTAGAACAAGATTATAAAACTATTAGTATGTGATATATGAATTGTATCCAATAAAAATAATTATGTTTTGTCAGCCTTTATTCTTACAATGTTTAATTTCTTGTTTACCTATGTACAATAAGGATGTCCACAATTGCATGCGCAAGATTTTTCATGCTTTCAGACCACAATTTAGCAAGTAGTTCTTTAAAAATATACTATCAGTCAAAAACAAAGAAATTTGTTGGATTAAATTAAAAATTTGAATTGATCAATTTTTTATGAACAATTAAGTCGAAAAAAGCATCCAAAACGATCCCCAAATACCCCCAAAAAAACGAATTAGTTTTAAAATGACCGTTAATAATTATTTCTCTATGCAACAAACTGAACGAGAGGAAAGAAAATTAAATCTGTTCTTCATTGCGTCGTAGATGACAGTTAATTTGATAGAAGCCAGTTTATCAAAGAAAGTTTAATCCATAAACATTAATTTGAACAGTTTTGCATATTTGTATGTTTGGTCATTGTTTGTGTACAGACCTTCTCTTCATGATATGTAGTCTTCTAACGCCAACATTTGTCAACGGCTGCCGAATGTCTGGCTACAACTACCAGTACTAGTAACGCAGACCTGTCAACAAGTATGCATCGCAGTAAGTCATATTCCAATCTTACGCAAACACCGGCAAAACTTACGCTTATCCTAAAATTTTAATAAATGTTGTTTCTTTTTCAATTTGTAATGAATTTTCATAAGAAGGGAAGATGCCTTTCGTTATCTTAAACTATCTTACAATAACTAATGTATCTGAGATGATTATAAACTCACTAATACCGTTTAGATATGCCATTTAAGCCAAAGGGCCCCGACCGGTAGCCCTTGGCGGCCCCTGGCCCTGAGCCACTGTTCATGCCTTCGGCACTTATTATGTGTCACCCGATCTTCCTCTTTGAACTTTCTCAAGGTTGACAGGTATGGCAACGGCCAGGAAATATTTATTTAAATTTAGCACATGTGCATTACAATATCTCTTTGTCGCTTGCGATTGCGTTAACAGTGCTGCCTTCTGCTGACGTGAATAACCGATGACAAACGGGAAGTCCCCAAAATAAAAGATGTGCTCTTGGTTTTGATGCATATGGTGGCTGCAAACGTGACGCTGGAACGCGTTGAAAGAAATCGTCGTCGAAAGTAGACCTAAAACACTAGTACAGTAGTTGGCAAAGTTATTACCTTGTTTTATTAGTATTTCCATATTTTTAATTGTCCATTATTGCAAAGGTAGAACAATTTGTAAATGAATATCTGTTGCCCATGTCTCATGTCGTAAACAAAACCGGTTTAAGAGGTCTCACCACTGAACAAAGTGTTTCATACGCCGGCGGGTGCATATAAAACTCCATGGTACATACAAGGAAGTCCCCGGTGTGGTCACTTCGTACAATACTGCGAGCTGTATGTAGGAATACTGCTGTAGCTTGGGTCGGATTATTGGTTTGTTTATTCTTTTGATATTTAGAGTTATTGTCAGCCTGGCCTAGGTATGTTGGCCTGTTTAGTTTTTATCTTTTAGTTTATCTTTTAATATTTACCCAACTAAAAACGTGTTTTTTGAAACTCACGATAGACTGAAAAGAATAAATACAATTGTAAAAGTAGGTATCCTCAGTATGTACCCTGAGTGTGCTCCAAAAGGCGAAATTAACATGTTTTGCTAGCTACATGCGATAGTTTCTGATTTGTACGAAATCCCTTCGTGTTGCAGTCATGTAGCTTCACCGTAACAACAACAAAAATGCCCTCGCCGCTGCCCTCACTCGAGCTCAATTATAATCCTTCTCCAAATTCAGTAATCTTTATCGTTATATGTTAACAACTAATATATTTATTATTAAAGTTAATTAATTAAGCGAATGATGGTCTATTATGAATTATGAGGAAATATGTTTTTTAACCACAGATAACAGCTTAATTTTCATCACGTTACCAGATCTCTAACATTCCGTCTGTATTAAAGTTGCTTGCCAGCCGTCTTCAGCTGAACTAAAACTAGGACTTGATTTAGTTGTAGTTAAAACTTCGACTACGTTGTTTGTGAATACAAATTAAAGTTGAAGTTGCAACTAGGACTAAATGAAATTCTAGTCCGAAGTTCGACTAAAGTTCGTTTTAAAAACAGGACAGTAAGACTAAGATGTGGATTGTACCAAATAATAGATGATAAAAACTAAAACGTTTTTAGCAGGAGATTGCAGAAATGAAATGGAAGTAGGATCAATGATCAACCGAATAGAGCATTTTTGTACATTGAAAATGGAGCAAGTATACACAAAATATCACCTTAGTAGAGCTTAAATGCATGGTATTATGATGTATGTAAAAATGTAAACATTTATTATTTAAAAAATGCATTACAATTAGTATTTACTAGTGGTCTTTAATTGGAGAGAAAATCTTCAGTGGGTTCCACCAAAACCTTGGTCTTTAGTCTCTAATTAGAGGAAGTCTTTAATTGGAGCGAGCAATGTAATTTTTTTTTTAAATATTGACTGGTTTCTTTAATTTTATTGTTATTCTGTGCGGTACTTTTATTTAAGCTTGCTATTTTTATGTGTGCGTTTGTTGTCTTGTTTCTGTTTGGAGAACCTCTCGATAGTAATTAAGTTTGCTTTAGGTTATCCTCAGGCTGTGTCTTTGTTTTTTGTATTTTATATTGCCTGGAAATAATAAATGAAATGAATGAATGAAGGCGTTCAATCGGGATCACAAGGAAGTGGTCTTTGTTAAGGCTAAAACCAATATAATGCGCCCACAAGATTTGTGTGTCCTATTCACTTTGACCAAAAGTTAATCACAGTGTTGACTTTGAGCTTGACTTTGATTAACAACTGTTTAAGACATCACTCCCTGCTGCCCTGACTATACCAAATTCCTAAGTTATGACCAATGCAATGCTCAAAGTGGCCTCAATTCCTTGAGTTGGCCACACCTAATCATTCAATCGTTAGCTTCCATTCAATCCAGTTTTATATATACAGTATTTTATACCTTTTAAGGAAATTTATATTTTCAATACTTCATTATTTGACGTATAACCCACACATAACTTTAAACCGGTTAACAGTTCATTAGTTCATCAGAACTTGAATTGGAATCTAAATCAAATATTGCGTTTGAATAAATGCTACAATTTTGTCTACCGTGTTTGAAGTTCATATACGCCCTCTACAATTATATGTAGTTTGTATCCTACATAAAGTTTAAAGTTATGTCATACCAATATGATAATCTACCCGATTTCGATCACGGATTTACAAAATCGCCACTGGAATCACCACACCCGTTTAATCTACTCGATGTAGACCCATGGTCATTTTTTTAAATGACCTGTCAACAGCAAACCACGCCAAGAAGTGTCAAGTCTGAGGTCAATGACGCGGCGAGCGTTGTATCCAATGCGAGCAACACGTCCGGCGGGACGAACAAGTCTTCCCGTTCAGCTGTAGTTGAAGCTCGAATTTGTGCAGAAGCTGCAAAGGCAAGGTTGCAGTTCGTGAAACGAGAAGCAGACCTAAGGCAACGAAGAGCTGCCCAAGAAGTAGAAGCACTGCTACTAGAGGCAGAGAAAGACGCAGCGGTTATGGCCGCCAAGGCCGCCGTACTAGAGGCGGAAGAAGTACGGACAGAACCTGCACTAGCAGATGTTCCGAAACTAATCTCAACTTCGTCAACTACTGATGCCAGAAACAAAGCCTGCGACAGGGGCTGTCAACCTATCAAACCCAACCCTCTCCGTTGTTGAGGGCATTAAGGAACCGACACCAGTGGTGTCGGATATCAAACCAACCAATCCTATATCCGTATCAACCAATGTGTTAGTGCCAACCACCATCACCCAGAAACCTCTTAGCACAAGAAATCCATAACACGGTCCAGAAGTTGCCACATAATCTAAAAGAAGCTTGGATGAAAAAGGATGCGAAATGCAAGGCCGAGAAGAATGTCGCATTTCCACTATTTGAGGTTTTCGTCGAATTCATCCAGTATGAAGCGAAAATTCGTAATGATCCAAGCTTTATGGTAACAACAGCCAGTGAACAAACCTTAGGCAACCAAAGAAATTGTGCGCTGCCACCACGACTAGTTGTACCTCAGCACCACCAACACAAATGAAGGCCAAATAGAAGTTCATAAAATGTCATTTCTGCAATGGTGCGCATTGGCTGTCACAATGTGTATCTTTCAGAAATGAATGGGGAATCTGTTGATACCTGCCAATTGATTTCTTTAGAAATATCAATTTTGGAAAGTAAAAAGCCAACAGTAGTTCCAAAAATATACACTCAACCAGTGTTGCCGATATCTAACAGCGTTATTGCCAGGCAAGACGACATAAAATGATGGCCTCATCTAAAGGATATTGACATACCAGAAATTGATGGAAAAGTGGAACATTTGATTGGTAATGATATGCCTGAATTGATCCAACCACTGGAAGTGGGAAGATCTGAGAATGGAGGGTCATACGCCACACGCACATCACTAGGTTGGACAGTAAATGGACCTGTAGGTTCCGGTCAATAAAGCCACACTTGTAACTTCACTACAGCATATGAAAACCAATCTCGACGATCAATTTCGGCAATTTTGTAATATTGAGTTCAGGGATATAAAGGCTGAAAAGTCAGTGATGTCGCAGAACGATAGGAAGGCATTAGACATAATGAATGAATCTGTGAAACACATTGGAAACAGACATCAGATTGGTATGCCTTGGAGATCCCCCCCATCAGATCTTCCTAACAACTTCATCGTGGTGGAGCGGAGACTCCAATCCTTGAAAATCAAACTGAAAAAGAACACAACGATGCGAACAAAATATACAGAATTCAAGGAAGATCTGTTGCGCAACGGTCACGCAAGAAAGACACAAGATGATGGAAACGCTTAGTGCAAAACTTGAGGCTACTCAAAAGCGTGCTTGCCGTATTATTTTAGGAAAAAACTATCAGACTTATGAACATGCTAGAACTCTTTGTAATTTGGACCCCCTCTAAGAGAGGAGAGCTGTCCACTGCCTCAAATTTGCTAAAGGCCTTTCTCTTACTAATCATTTTGCTGATCTGAATCTTCTACAATCTCATTGTAGAAGTCTATGCAATGGAAGTAATTATTCACAGCTTAAATGCAAAACCAAAAGATTTTCTAATAGTCCTATACCTTTTTACATTCAATTACTGTACTCAATTTATCTTAATCCCTCCTCCCCCTTTAGTCTCACTGGCGACTGAGGCACTGGCTGCTCCCCTCTCTTAGAACAATCAAGTTGCTGCACTTGCATGTCTTTGTATGTATGTGTATATATATATATATATATATATATAACTGAAATAAACTATCTTTTATTCTTTGTAAAAGTTGCTACCAATTTGGCCTTTGGCCACGATTTGTAACTTGTTTTTTAATGTTGATATATTTGAATAAATAAAGTGAAATATAATATCCAGCCAACTTTGCATCCCATGAAATACCTGCTGAGGACTTAATAACGAGTGATATGTGGCATTCCGGTCCTCAATTCCTCCAACAAGCTGAAGCTGAGTGGCCATAGTTGCCCATCGATCTTTAAATGATCCCAAACGATCCGGAAGGCAAAGAAACAAAATCAATTGCAGTTACAGTGATAATTGAACCTGGTAACTGTTTAAAGGACCCGATTCTTAGTTGCTTAAGTTGGGTATGGTTGATAAGAATTACCGCCTGGATCCTGAGGTTCCGAAACAATATGAAGAAGCCCAAAAGGGACAACTTCAACATTACCAACAAGAAGACTAAAGTGATGTTCAACCTCTCTATAGAAGAACTTATGGAGACTGAAAGAGTTCTCATTGCATATATATGCCCTCTACAATTATACTGTATGTAGTTTGGATCCTACAGTCTTTAATTGGAAGTGGTTTCTCATTGGAGGGTCTTTCATTGGAGGGAGACCATACTGTTGTACTAATACAAGTGTAAAAAAAAAACCACTTTTTTCAAAACACAGTAGTACATTAATAGCCTAAATATGAAACATAAATCGTTGTAATATGATTTATACACTTTCACAACAGTAAATAAATGTAATACTGTACTAATGCTTATTATTACATGTGCAATTGAAATTGTTTACATACTGAGCCCACTTGGATATGTTCTGGTTTCTTACACTTTTTAGCTTCTTAATGGGCATCTATTTTTATTCCAATTACATACAAACATTGTCAATGTAACACTGCAATTTCAAATAGAAATATATAATCTCTAATAAAAGTAATCAATCAGATCCGACAATCCAATAATATTTCCTGTATGTATATGGTTCATAACTAAATGACTTTCAGTAATATAGCAAGTACAGTAAAATAAAATAATAACTATTGTTATATGCCTAACTGCTGTTGCTACTACTACTACCATACTACTATCTTGGAAGAACTTCATCTAGTCTTTAGTTGAATTAGTATACTGTAAATGGTTCTTCAACATATAGACTGAACGTTTTGAAACTTACATGACGGTTTGGGACGCTGACAGCTACCATTATCAAATGACTGGAATGTACAGGTTAAGCTCATCTCCAGCTTGTCGACTGGTGGCGCTATGTCGGTAAATCACGCCTGATCTGATGTAAAGCAGAGGTCCCTCAGAGGACAGATGTAGCTTAACTTGTACATTCCAGTCATTTGATAATGGTAACTGTCAGCAACCGAAACTGTCATGCATTTTTCAAAACTTTTAGTTTATATATTTAAGAACCATTTACAGCATACTATTATCATTATTCAAAATCAAAAGCTGTAAAGCTTACGTGCCACAGAAGCTTTTGCATTACATGTTACAGTATATAAATGTAACATGATTATTATTATAGAAGTTAAATAAAATCTGAACAAATAACAGGTGAAACTTGTAAAATTTACAGAATGCTACTCTTTAATTTTTTTTTAAATTTATAACCACACAAAATTAGACTTCATTGCATTATACATTAGTAAATTAAAATACATTGAATTTCATTCACAAACCAAGGCACAAACCTCATACAATACAGTTTATTTTGTAGGGCCTATTTTGGCCTCCCTTTCTATGTCAAAGTGTCCTTTATTCGTAACTGAAAATTACAGATTGGTTTAATAACATCTTGAGAAGAGGTTTACGCTCCCCCGCTTCCCCCAGTTTTTAAATATTCAAAAATCTGTATCTTATTAACCCGCTCCCGAGTTTTTCGTCAAATATACTTTTTGTGTCTTAGAAAAATCAGTTCTACAACATACTGTATCAAATAGAAATTCCACTTCACTTGACAACTATTTCCATTAACTGGTTAACATGCTCATAGCCTTTGCTTTCTTTCACTGGTTCAAATGACCACCTCTTTTGTTAAAGACTCGTTGGTATCTAAAAACAAAAGAACATGAAAGTCTAAAGCTATAATTTTATTCTTAGTAAATTATGAAAATGTGGTATTTTATAAATTTTATACCTGAATTAGTTCAAATCTGGTTTACTTAAAACAATGACATGCTGATTGCAAGATAAACTGAAATGTGCCTAAAAATAACAATTGCAGAACATCGTAATTACGGTAAGATCTATCAGAGAACAGCCTATTAATTCATATAATTTGTTACAAAAAAAATAAATAAATAAAACAAAACAAAACAAAAAGCACAAAAAAAAAACATCTGCTTCACCAGTGTATCCATTATGTAATTTATTTATTAACTTGCTTGAATTCAGGTGTGTTCTCTTGCCCGCAGGTATGGATCCTGAAAATGAATACACAACTATAAAAGACAAACAAAGAATATTGTAGCTTATAATAATAGGATTAATTCAATGTGTTACCTTTTTATAGTACCATCTTTTTCACGACAGCCTGTCATGGCTTTATGTATAGTCCATCCAGTGCAGTTAGTAGGATGTTTCTTGATCTATGGTGTGTAACCACCTCTCTTAATAAATAGCAGCATAGGCCTACATTAAATCAACTGGTAGACCTTGGGATGTCAGTAGAAATCGTGTAGCTGGTGTAGATAACAGAAAGTTAGTATGATCTGAGCACGATTCTAGACAGTATATAATAAATAAAATAGGCCGTACAATCTGGTAAGGGCACGGCCTAAATTAAGGTTAAAATGGGCCTATAAAAAACTAACTGTCTTGGTCTAGGAGAGGCATATTCTATAATACCCCCGGTCCTATGCCTACTTTAGTAACCCTACATTGCATACATACATACATACAGGCAGCCCACCAAATGATATGGCTTGTTCATACTACATTGGCATAAAGCCTAAAATAGGGAGGCAGGGAGCCTATCCACTTCTAGGGCCTAGGCCACTAAAATAATAATATATTATATCTAGATATCTAGATAGGCTAGGCCTAGTTCATAACTCACCGTTCGGAATTGTATGATGAAGGCCTAGGCTTGGCGGGGGTCAAGCTCGAGTCATAAGGTTTGCTATTCATAAGGTTCATTATTCATAAGGTTCGTTATTCATAACATTAGCTTACCCTATACCAGGGGGTCGCTATTCATAATGAAAAAAAGGGCTCGGCTAGAGGCTAGCACAAACTTGACGACCTCGCCATTATTTTTTGTTGTTTTGCCTTCTTGATCGCTATTCATCTTTCACATTCAATTGGATTACAGTAATTGTCAGTCGAAAATGACTGTTGGTCATGTTGCATATCACTTTATTCCTTTTCTTTCTCTGCCCTAGGCTATGCCTACAGCAGACTAGCTACGTTGGCCTTAGAATATAACACGATCTCGTGTGCTCTCATCTTGTCGAATGTCGCACCAGTCACACAAGCTCTCGACGCGCCGTTGCTGAACATACAGACAGCTAGCTGCATTTCAGAATAACAGTGATAACGCGATAGAAAGTTCACTGGAAAATACCTAATAATTATTCATTGTAAAACTTCACTTAAATTGACTGGTAATTAATTTAAGGATTTTTTTTTCAAATGCATGCAAGTTGGCAAATATATTTTTAATCAATCTTGCTCCCGGTGAAAGTTAATAACTTTTTTGATTCTGTAAAATGCCCTATTAAAAATTTTAATTGAATTTTTAAGGGGTTTTTTTTCGATTTTTTGACTGATAGTATACCTTGAAGTGTCAATTTATCTCCTAGATCGAGTGAAGTGGAAAATTCACTGCCGTTGCACATTTATATTTTCTTGACATTTCTAGCCCCAAAATGTATCTAACTCACATGTTTCATTACTAGTCTACAGGTTATCATCAGTTTTTTGGTCCAAAAATATGACATCATCTGTAATTCAATAACAATGAAAATTATTCTATTTAAATTAGGTTTTTTTTAAAAGTAAATTGATGATAATTATATTTTTTTAGTCAAGTCTCAATATGCTGCTTTTCCAAGTCATTCTACGACAAATTAACATTCAGAATAACATTCAGAATATACAATAAAACTACTGCATTTTGAAATTTTATAAATCATATCTATAGAGTTTTTTTTCAATTCAAAGTGAAATTTATTTTGATCAAATATCACCAAAGTTTATTTATACACAACAACAGCAACAGCAACAGCACTAATAAGTCACAAATAGATGAAAAATGTAGAATGTGTAGGCAGAACACTGAGACTGTAGGCACTACATCAGGTGTTGGCACAGAAAGAATATAAAAAGACATTATAACGTGGCAAAATCAATACATTGGGATTTATCAAGAAAGTATAGATTCGATGAAAATGACATTTGGTATCAAATGTTGGTACCGAAATTGTTCCTGAAAATGATTAATACAAGCTGTAACAGAAACTGATCATTTAATGAAAGCAAGAATACCTTATTTGGTAATATAGACAGATGGAATGTCAAACAATAAATGTAGCTATTTTAAACAATAGTAGGGTGAGCGAAACAAGGCATCTAAGTGCACAAAATGGAATAATAAATATCTGCAGGCCATTCTGAATCATAAAAAGCATAAGGCAATGGGACTCGTTTGTAAACGAGAGAAATTAAATTAAAAAAACAATGTGTAATTACTTTTTTCTATACTTGCGTACACTCCGATTTCAGAATGATATTAATTAAAACGCTGAAATGAATTCTGTTTGTACATCTAATTGATTACCTGCTATTATTGAAGTAGATGTTATATTGTTGCCATCATCATCTTTATACTGACTATATTCCAGTTTGCCTTGTACATAAACCCTGGAACTAAAAGAATTAGTTCATATCATAATTATATAACATATATCAATTGTGATCATTTTTCCTGCAAAATAATGTCTTACTCCTAGTGCAATGTATGTTTAAACTTTTGGTGACTCATGTGCAACAGGGACAATATTATTACCAATCAGTACTAATCTAAGGGGACTAATTTACAGCGGCATATCTGACCATGTCGATGTTTTCAATATTTCATATTTTTCTTGCGTTGGAACAGCTGTAGCTAAATAAAGAAGAGATTACTAAGTTTATAAAAATTAAACCTACAACTTTAGAAGACTTAACGCAACAGTGACCTGAAGTCATTAATATTCAGGAACCTAATAAAGCATATTTAACACATAAAAGTCAATTATTTATGATCAACATTTCTTCTCCAATATTAACCCATAAAGATTAAATCATGGATCACATCATTCTCGGCCCACCAATCCACCTTGCTTTTCTGATTGATATAGTACTCCTCCACTGATTGGATGAGAAATTGGGTGTGATAAAATACCATCTTTTATCACGCCACCACCGCAACCACATGTTCATCTGACAAGAATTACGATGTTAGAATACTAAATCATACATTGTACAAACACAATCACCCAATAAAAGACGGTATGACAGAATATTTTATTTATAATTAATTACATTTTAATGAGACACAATTTAGCTACAATCAATAACAGTATAAAAATACACTGAAATGAAACACATGACATATAACATGCACAGTATAGCGGTCTCCAACTACTTGTGAGTGAAAGGTGTCGGTGGGACTAGCCACGGTCTGAATTTCATAACTGGGTCGTAAGTCTAAAAAGTTTGCGGAATGCTGCTCTGAGGTACTTATTTGTTTCCTTTTATAACCCCCCTCTTTAAACTTTTTTGATATAAATCATATAAAACAAGGTATATTACCATACATTCTATTCTGCGCAATCATCTAAGTAACATGTTTATCTTTAAACACTAAACAATTATCAAACTCCATCTAGAAATAATATTCATATACCAAGTTACTGTATAACACTAATGGTTTTCAACACAACAAAGTTTTTATAGACCTTTTATAGATTTTTAGTAAGGACTTTTTATAGTTTTATAGGGTTTTTAAACATTTTTCCATCTATACATTATCTATAGTTATTCTATACAATAATATATAGAATAGAATATAGAATAATTTTATACTATTTTAAACCTGGTGTTAATTTTTTTAACCTAAAAGCAATAATTTTACACTATTTTAATGCATTTTCTGCTTTATGTTTTTTATCATCGTTCAGTGTTTTAATAATATATCTTAATACTTTTTACTGTCTTTTAATGTTTTTATAGTATATTGTATTGTTCTGATAACATCCCTTAATACATTTTCTGTATTTTAATGTTTTAATATTATATAATCGTTTTAATGTTTTGTTTGGAAAATTTAAAGTTTCCTGTCTGTTTTTAACTACAGTATTTATGTTCGATTGCTAACTTCAAAGCATATTTCTGTTATATTTATATATAACAGACTGAATGAAGTGAATTGAATTGAATATCTAAAGAAATTGCAATAAAAATTCTATACTTTTAAAATAGAATTCTTCAGAATTGTTTTTATACTATTTTAAACCTGGTGTTAATTTTTTTAACCTAAAAGCAATAATTTTACACTATTTTAATGCATTTTCTGCTTTATGTTTTTTATCATCGTTCAGTGTTTTAATAATATATCTTAATACTTTTTACTGTCTTTTAATGTTTTTATAGTATATTGTATTGTTCTGATAACATCCCTTAATACATTTTCTGTATTTTAATGTTTTAATATTATATAATCGTTTTAATGTTTTGTTTGGAAAATTTAAAGTTTCCTGTCTGTTTTTAACTACAGTATTTATGTTCGATTGCTAACTTCAAAGCACATTTCTGTTATATTTATATATAACAGACTGAATGAAGTGAATTGAATTGAATATCTGAAGAAATTGCAATAAAAATTCTATACTTTTAAAATAGAATTCTTTAGAATTGTTTTTGGTATGGGAGGGCAAATAAGCATACTGCTTGGATGTTTCAAGATTCTGTATCAAAGTTATTGTAATTAGAAAAAAAAAGTAGAGCACCCGTACCATGCCATTAATGCAAAAGAATCTGAAATAATAGGAAGTTGTCATTGTAAGCTTGCCCCCCCCCCCATCTCTGTTAATGCATTTCTAATTATCATATTACAAAATGTTTCAAATTAATAGAATCTATATAGGTGTTGTGCAATACATTTCAGTAACTTACCCTTTTCTTGCATATGAAAATACTGTATCTTTAAGCCATGGCTTGAAAATAACTATCCTATGCCATTGAGTCTTCTGATTGTACTCCCCTGAATAAATATCAAATTAAAAGAAATGATAAAACATACTACCACAAATAGATATCAAAAACAAACCAACTGTAAACAGTCAACCTAATGAAATATGGTTACTAAACTTAAGCAAAAGGACCTTAACGTCAGGGCAGTTGCCACAGCCACTGAGTGAATTGAGACCTAAAAATGACTTAGCAGCCACCCGAAAATGTTGAGGTGATTGCTGCTGCTGAGAAACTGATTATCACTTAATACTGTTAGTGGTACAATAGTCAAAACAGTCACCATACTTAACACAGCTTTTGAAGTTGTTACAAAGATAAATTATAGTAGTTACTCCATAGAGTGGATACTTCCTCCCTGTGCCTGAATACCAACAATACACAGGCAATGTATGGTGGGCGAAACTGGAGTATACCCTTAAGGAATTAATGGAATCGCCGGTTGTATCCAGCCACATTATATTCTTGAGTGCTGCAGCATACCCCCAAGAAAATGATGCAATCGCCCTTTGTATTCACATTATTTTCTTGAGTTCTGTCTGAATTCCAGGGACAATAAAAAAAAGGGTAAAAAATTAAATTTCTGCTGCCTTGACTTTTTTCTTTGACCTTTTCTTACAAAAATTGAATTTTCTCTTTCATTGATTATGTACCATTTAACTAAATTTTATGATGATACATCTTTCAGCAAATTATACATGCAAGGCAGTGACAATGTTGAGGATGAGCATAAACAAGAATCATAAGAGCTCATGGAAGGATTTGGAAAAAAATATTATGATTCTAGGGCTACTTGACTTGGTGTATAGAGACCAAAGATATTTTGCATATGCAATTGCAAAAGACTTGGTGCAATTCTGGCCACTCAGGGACGGACAGGAAAGTAGGTTCTGTAATTTAACATCCTGAAAGGTAGACCAAATGACATGGACAATAACCATGTACTTGCAATGATTGAACAAACCTTAACATATAGAAGATAAGAAGGCATGTTTTGGACTTCTCATAGGCAAGGAGGCATTGTTACAGGAACTTATTGACTGGATGATGGAAGAGATGAAGTCAAGAATGAGGACCACAAAGCAGGTGAGGTCCAGCCATAGCAACATTTTTGACTGTAAATTGCTACTTTCCAACTCCTTTATTCAGGAAACATGAGAAGGGAGAGGGGTGGTGGGCATTTATATGAAGATGAGTTAGGTGTCGACAAGCCTCCAAACACAGACCAAGTAAACAACTGCTTTAAGGGTGTTTATATTTAAAATTTACATTTGAACGTTGCTGCAAAATACAAATAAATTTTGATAAATTACAGCTATAAAGTTTAACTTTGTTTTTTTTAAAGCTTTAACAGTACTCTGAATCCATCATGCCATTCCAATATCATTTATCTATAGCTAGTAATCTTCATCTGTACAAATCATCACGTACCTTTAAGCCCTTTAGATTTAATTTTTTTTTAAACGAGTCAATAAGGTAAATTTTGACAACCTTTGTATCCCTTCAGTTCCTTTTCAGATTTGATAGAAAAAGCCAAGGGACTATATGCTGAAACTAAATCATTAAAACGCAACACATGACCAAACATACTCCATCTTGCATTTTCAATGCGATCGGACAATGAACATGTATTTGTTACTTTATATAATTATTCATTGAAATTGTTTTGATATCTAATTTTTAATATGTAACGGTTAGTGCAGTTAGTTGACATATTAAAGTATCATTAGTAAAATGTTTGTTATGCGTTTGCTTAGTTGTTTCTTAATTATGTTTTGTATCATTGCTATTCTTTTGTCGGGGTCATTGATGACTTCTTAATTTTTAATACTATCTCAATTAAAAGTTTGACTTCATTATTCACAGTACTTTTGTTGAACATTAACAATTACTGCTAATAAGTTACAATCAGTTACAAAATCACAATTCTTTTACTAATTAGAAATGCTATACCCTCTATTACACAGGGACATAGCAAGGATTTTGAAAGGGGGTAGCCATTATGGGAAGTACTTACTACAGAGCGGGGGTCCCCTGTTGTCCGAATTTTGAGTTTTGAGATTTCGACTTGCACATTTTTTGAGAAAAAATATTTACCTAGAATATACACAGCGTACTCAATGGCCAGAAATGCAAATTTCACGCAAAACCGAACGTTTTTTTAATTCCCAAAATCAATCCTATTCTTCCTTTAAATTGAATACCGTACTTGCGTGAATAAGCGCCCAGGCGCTTAAAATATTTTTTGCACTTTCTGAGGGGCACTTATTCAAACAGGGCGACAGAGTGGAATTTGAGGGGGCGCTTACGGAAATAGATGAAAATCGAGGGGTTCTTATGGGAACTTAATAAATTCAAGAGGCACTTTTACGCCGTACAACCACCAACGAATTGTGGTGTGGCGGAAAAGTTTGAATCGTCCAGAGAACATGGCTCATGACAAGAAAGCTGTGAATATTTACATAACCGCAGAATAGCAGATGCAATAGTGGTGGTGGGTAGTGGCTAGCTTGTTGGCCATCGGCCGATTGAGATTTAGCAGGATGGCGGGATCATTGCAAGGTTTTCTTGAAAACTCAGACGAGAATGTGCTAAAGGTGCAAATTGTCGGGGAAAAAAAGAGGAGTAGCACTAGGCATAGACAAATATGCAAGAAGAGGAAAGTTGGAAATATACTGTCTATCCAGGGATCGGAGCTCTCATCTGTCCAAGAGAAATATCCTCGTTTTGATATTGACCTAAGAAGAATGTGATCCCACTCTGCAGCACAAATCATGCAAACAACCACAGTCCGAGGATTGATTGGATTATTGACTTGCTAAAAAGAAAATCTTATGACATTATTGAGGGGCGCTTATTCAAACGGGGCGTTTATTCGCACAAGTATGGTACTTTCTGTAAACTGGAACTCCCTATTTTGAATCTCGAACGATTTTTCCAGTTCAGGACAATGAAATTCATGGCTAAGATTCGGACGATCAGTTAGATATCGTTTAACCCTATAGAGGTCCATGGTTAACACAGGGCTCGAAATTCACTCTAGCAAATTAGCAATTTGCTAGTAGGTTTGTTATAATTGCTAGGTAATAATTCACAAACCAGCAAATAAAAAAAATGATTGCTAGTTGGAATATCTGTACAAATTATCTTGTAATTAGCCTAAGTAAAATAAAATTAAGTAAAACAATATATGAAGGAAAAGTTACAAGAACTGGAATTTTTCAGAATAATATAATATAAAATTAATATAAAATAAATTTTATTTCATATATTATATAATTTTGTAAAATTCCAATAAGAGGTACATCTTTAATATGAACAAAAATCACAGATACAAAATAGAAATAATATATATATATGTTCTATACTTAATTTATTTAAAAAATAAATTAAATATAATATATTTGTGTGTTTGTGTACAATAAATATCACAAACAAAAAGCCAAATGAGTATAAGCAATTGATTTCTATACCTTGTACATTTATTCACTGCAGTTTCATAACATTTTTTAACATTAAAAAAATCATACATACAAAATAAAAATTAAATATATTATATACTTAATTTATTTTTAAAATAAATTAAGTATATAATATATTATTCAATTTATATTTTGTATGTGATTATTTTTTAATAAGTTGGCAGATTTTAGGAGGTGCGGTCTGTTCTTTACTGCCGACCCTCAATGGTATCGCCATGACGAAGGAAGAATATATTGAGCTTGGAAAAATATATCAGAAAACAAAAAAAAAACAATATAAAAGTTGCATTAATTATATTGGTAATTAAATTTCCGGTAATGTAGGTATAATATAATAATAATAATAAACATTTATATAGCGCCAATTCAAAAATTTATCAAAGGCGCAGGAGAAAACAAACTCAGTAACATTTCTCAAAAAGGTGAAACTTTAAGTTCTTCTTAAAAGAATATAAATTAGGCGAATTACGAACAGAAAAAGGAATAGAATTCCACAGAGAAGGAGCTTGAACAGAAAAAGCATGTTGACCATATGTTTTGGTTTTGTTTCGAGGAGATGGAACTGTCAAAAGATTTTTTGAAGATGAACGAAGATGGTGGATAGGTACATGACATTTAAGTGATGCAACAAATATAATGGTTTGTGAAATGCAAGTAACTTATATACCAAAAGCAGCAATTTGAAAATACAACGTTGTTTAATGGGAAGCCAATGAAGACAGTTCAGGGCTGGTGTTATGTGTTGACGTCTTGGGATCAGTGAAACAATACGAGCAGCAGAATTTTGGATTTTTTGTAAATGCAAAACTGTGGTATCGGGTAGTGCAATAAAAAGTGAGTTGCAATAATCTAACTTAGATGAAATGAAGGCATGGACTAAAACTTATGATTTATGTGAAAGAAACTTTCGTATTCTCCAAAGATTACGTATAAAAAAGAAAGAAGATTTACAGAGCGCAGATATATGTGGAACAAACGCAAGACTTTCATCAGGAATAACGCCATGACTTCGAACAGACGAAACTGGGTTAATGGGAATGTCATCAATATATATGGACTGAAATTGAGGTTTTGGGCGGAATTTTGAATGAAACACAATAAATTCTGTTTTAGATGGATTCAATTTAAGCATGTTGCTGGTCATCCATTTATGAATATCAATGACACAATTTGGAACTTTCTCAATTTTAGATGAAGTGTTTGACTGGTCAAAAGGAGTGAATATTTGAATGTCATCAGCATAGAAATGGAAATGAAGTCCATGAGATTGTATGATATTTGAAACAGGTGACATATATAAAGAAGAAATAAAAGCGGTCCAAGTACACTCCCTTGCGGCACACATAATACAGGGGCACGTGTTCAGAAAGTGAATCATCAATACTAACTTTCTGAAAACGGGATGAAAGGAAAGAAGAAAACCAACGAAGGACAACATCAATATGTTAAATAATGTGTTAACTTTGCGTAGGCTAGTTATAAGAAATACACAGGGCTGTGATGCCTAATTAAATAGGTAGGCCCTAGCTAGGACTAAAATAGCAGGCTTGTTTGGAATGGTTTCAATATAAATTTTTTACAAACCGAAATGTACGAAAAACCGGCCAAGCCGGTCAGGGTTAATGTCAGTACTGGGAGAATGAACTGCAACTTACGACATGCGCTTGTGAGCCGTTATTCCACAGCGCGCTGCCGGCCTTCTGAGACGTCAGTTTTGACCTGGTTTAATAATTAACTTGTTGCCATACAACACCAAATGTACAACAAGGATTGAACTTTGTATTTCCCAACGGCTGTGTGTTTTTGGAACTTAGTTGGGACTTTAAAAAAAATTCAACTGACATGAATTTACGACTTAAACAGAGTCGACTTGGGTAGGCTGGATTGTAATTACAGAATAAAAATGAATTTTTATTTAATACATACAGAGTTAAAGTCTCTGTTCATTTTTTGGCTGTTCTGTTAAGAATTACAAAACAAACTTTTACTGAATGATCAGTGTTGCCTATTGTGTTTGCTAGGTTAACAGCCCATGATGGAAATCCGTCAACTTCCATCTGACAGCCTACATGAATTTGCAGTCCTTAAAAAATATAGCTCTTAAATTGTCAAAAAAAAATCATACCAGCTGTATGCCCAGCGTAAGTCAGTTAGGGAACATCAAGAGGAGTGCATTAAATATTTTTAACCAATTACTCTGCAGTATGTTTAACATTTCTCTCAATGTCAATTTTCATAATTTCAGTTTGGTTTAATTATCAAACATCATCTCACCTGCTTTATCTTTAAATGTTTCTGATGTTGCTAAGGGAAATGTTGTACATGAATTCTCCTCACTTCCTCTCATTTCTGGGTTTCTTCCAAGGCGTCCTAGCAATACAATTTGATTCAGAGCTAGAATAAAGAAAATTAATTAAAATATACTGAAGAACTCATAATGTAATAACCTGTATTAGTTAAGCATATCTATGCTTTTGTATCGCAGTGCCGCAATGCGAAGAAGCTGCCATTTTCTATTGGAAATCTCAGATCAGAGAATGCTGGCATTTTCTGTTGGCACTGCCGCAGTGTGGAATGTTTTGTGCAGTCATCATTGTATCGGTGTCAATTTGTTTTTATCGACCAGCACTTGCAACTATTCCAGAGCCGTTGCAACTGTATAGGCTATGCCCAGACCTCTTGTTCTCATATTATTGTTGTTTAAGAAAATAAATGTAAAAACATGTACATAGTATCACTACTACAATAATAAAATTAACATTTCAATCTTATAATAAATTTTATACAGCCGGTGTTATGTATTGACCTAGGCTACTATGGCTAATGACAGGTATGCTATTTTTTTTTTTTTTTTTTTTTTTTTTTTTTTTTTTTTTTTTTTTTTTTTTTT